GTGGCAGCAGCAGCTGTAGTAGAAAAAGCTGTAGTCGTAGTAAGGAATAGTTCTTGTTGTTATTTATTTGTTGTTTTATTAGAATCATCATTAGCAGTTACAGCTACAGTAGCGTCGCAGTATTTACAGTAGTGCAAGAACAGACAATGGTACACGAACCGAATCATTTCATGCACCCGTCTACCTATTAGTCCCCGTGGTGGAGCGGCTAGACGCTCACCGCAGATCAGAAGGTCGTAGGCTCACTCCCTGGTGGAGCCGGACTTTTTTCAAAAATGACTTTGACTCCCAGGTCGACCAAGCCTTGAGTGGGTACCGGGTGCAGTCCCGGGAAGTAAAAGCGGCCGGCGTGAATCATCACCCATCTTGTGCCGATTATTCTGTAAAATATAGGTCTAGCCCTATATGCCCAATACGCCTAAAGGCGTGGAAAAGGGTCCTTTACTTAAACTTACCCGTCTATCTATGGGTGTTGAAACCTCTATGAGGCGGGAACGGTACACGACCCCATGCCCTCAGATTTGAACCAGCCTCATTGGCGAGGCAAACCTTTCTTTGGGGGTAGTCAACCAGCTACACACGGAAGGCGGCTTTAGAAGAGTGTGTGATTGGAAGGATGTCGACCTGCAGGTTCGACAAATATCACGAGGGAATTGATCGATATCCTGGAGGAGTTTGGCAAAAACCAGGTCAACTTACTCTTGCAAACAATTACTTATATTTGAGACCTGTTGCCATCCTAGTACCAGTCACAGCTGACGATAAGATGGAGAAAGAAACAACACCAAAAAGTGGGTGGGGGGGGGGGGGGTGGTGATTCTCTCATCTGCTTCTATTTAAGAGTTCACCGGCTGTAAACTCCAGCGGAAATTCTAGCTGTTGAGCCATTTCTGGACTTTGGTGTCTTGTTCCAGAAGGTTACTGTTGGTCCCTAGCCTCTCGGAGGATACACCCATAAGTTAGTAGCCTTTTACGACATGCTATGAAGCAGTATGTTTTTCCCCCCCCCCCCCCCCCCCCCCAACACAGCAGAGCCACAGTACCCACATGGAGAGAGTGAATGAAATCAGGAAACGTTTCCTGTGAACATTAAACAGTTAGCACCAGGCACGGCCGAATTTTAAATCGAAGCTCTGATCTAAATAAATAAAGTCCACAAACCCCTTCCCTTTTAATGACACCTGTTGATCTCAGAAAACTTTAAAATATACAAGGTAATAAAAAGCTGGAAGTAGGTGCAAATCAAGCTGTTTATTTTATATATATATATATATATATATATATATATATATATATATATTATATATATATATATATATAATATATATATATATATATATAAGCAAATTGCATTTGTGAGAAAACAAAAGAAATATTTTGAGGCACCTGCAGACTGTGAGGCCCTGAGTTGTAGCTTAGTTTGCGTGTGCCTAAATCCAGTACCGGCACCGCGAGTCCTATCGAAACGATTGTTTGTTTATACAAGGATCAACATCAAGGCACAAGGGTGGTAACCCATAACTGCTCCGTTCTACGTCTAACTGAAGAATCTTAGCGCTGTGCACGAGCTCCATAGCACCAGCGAGAATTTTGAAAAACTTTGAGTAGATTTTTAACTGCCTATTGTTGCCAACTGTCAGATATCACAGCCTTATCTGCTTCTCATTTGAGTTCTGAGGCCCCATGTTGGGGCCATCAAAGAAGAAACTTACTGTCCCGTAACAGGCATCTCGTAAAAGCGAATGTTTACAATTTTGCTGGAATCACTGTGTTAAGCCAAAAGGTGCAGATATCGCAGCCTAGCTGTTAACCATAATGCAATATGCTAATTGCCACTTTTGAGTGCAGACAAAGAAAAAGAACATAGAGAGAAGATAATCTTATTATGACTATTCCTGATATATAAAGTTTATAGAGGCTATTCAAATAACTTAACAATGTCATAACAACAAGGTTTCTTTAACTAAAACGGAAACAGTTTTATCCAACTGCAAACATTTCAAAGAAAAAAAAAATGACAAAAAAAGTACAAAGTTCAGCATACAGAATATCTTTTAAATAACTGGCCTTTGTTTCATCATCAACTTTATCGCCATCATCATCTTCATCATAAATATCATCATCATCATCATCCAAAAAAAAACACACACGTAATAATGACCTAACTATAGTTTGATGTATTCTTGTTGTCTCTAGTTATCAACTTTCTTTCATACTTGTCTCAGGGAATTAGGTTATTTGTAACAGCATATCAGCGACCCATTCTGGTTTAGGATGCTGTAACTCTTATGTGATAGCAAGCACCGGTAAGGGCTGCAGGTCCCTGGCATTGACCACAGTCGTGGAGTAGTCTACCTGTTTGCCTGGCTCCCTGAAGATCGTGGGTTCGTTTCAAGGACACCCCGTTCAGTTCATGACAGCAGGTTTTAAAGATATTTTGGGCGATCGTTGCCGGAGTTGCAGAGTTCGTACCTTGTGCGGCGCACTTGGCATGCCGTCC